TAGTTGCCCCATTTTTTCACTTGTCTGCTTGCTGGCTGACCTGCAGGTGGTGGTAGTCGCCGTGCAAGTAAACCTCATCTCCGGTGTCCACATGGAATACAGAGTGCAGACACTTTGAGGGGCTAGGATCCTGTTTAAACTCCTCCACCTAACAGAGATGCACAGAGAGAGAAAAAGAGAGAGAGATGAAAGGATGAAAAAAAAAGGTCCAGGGTAAAAGGGAGGGAGAGAGAAAATCAAAGGGAGAGACATCCATGGCCCCACAGAGGTTACTAGAAGAAACTCTAGCTATACTAGAGTAGCCTTCAAATTCAAAAACATATCAACCGAAACCTTTTGAGTCAAACATGGTGATGAGCTTTCTTTACACACTGTAATGTCTGTCATGTCTCTTATGGTTGCACTGCTTAAGGCAGAGATGGCACCTCCACTCCTCTCTAATTCTATATATGTCAATTCTAGCGAATCAACTTCAATGCTGCTTCTTGTTTCTCTATCCTCTTCTGTCCATTCTTCTCTTTCCCCCACGTAAACTTGTCACGACAGATTCCCACATCCCCGGGATTTCCTTTTTCCAACTGTGGTTTTCTATAATTTTCTCAGGCATCTTGAGATAACTGCTGTGAATGGGAAAAAAAATGAAATTACACTTCACTTCCTTTCAGCATGTTTGTTTTTTATATTTAATCTGTCAAACTGAACTTCTTTTACTGCATTCACTTTTGCTGACCCATCAACTTCCAGAGTTTTTTCCTGGCTCCAAAGGCTGGGGTGAAGGGTGATGATAATGTAAGCATAATTGGTCTGCATATAGTTAAGGCAAAAACTTGAGTCTTACTTAACAGAAGTCAGTGGATTTCCACATCTGGCTCCTTTGTCTTAGGCCATTTAAATGTCTGTCTTTGTTTGTTTGTCTTTTTGCCTCCTCCATTTCAATTGCCACTTCAGCTTATTCTAGCTTTATTTGCAGCTTTTTCACTTCAGTTAGTCTTGCTGCTTAAATTTAATCAGCTACTTAAATCTTAACCACCATCTGCCTGCACTGTTTTTTCAATCTATGCACTTCAATCTATTATACCCATACAAATATGATTCAAAAGGTTTAAAGAAACTAACATTTAACATTTTTAAGCCATTTCAAAACAGTTAAATGTTTACAATCCTGGCTGCAAGAGTTCATCCCCACTCCAGTCATACATGCTGCACATAATCTGTTCTTTTGTTTTGGTTTTTAATAAAATAACCTGATAAAGAGTGAAGAGTTTAATCAGGGAACAACGCCACACACAGATACACGTTACAGTACAAACATCTCTGCTCGGGACCACATAAGGGCCAGATTATGGCAACCAAAGTGATAACACTGTTTAAAACAAGACATGTACAACATTTTAGTTGTGCTTTGTCCTCGGTGGTTTGTTGATGGCTTCGCATGTGTTTGCTTCATCGACTCCACTACACACCAAATCACAGATGGGCCGCCTGTCCTGTCGCACAGTTATAAATAATTGGCCCTTTGTCCCATTTTCACCTCCTTCGTTTCTTTTCTCTGCTGCTCTCTCTATCATTAAATCCCTCGTTGTTGTCTCCATTTTTTTTCTACTTCCTACCTTCTTTCTTACTTCTAGCTCTCTATCTACTGTACTTTACACTATGAGCTCTTTTATTTGGGTTCTTTTGTCCCCTCCCACCTTTCCCCCCCCCTCTTTATTTTGCTATATAGTCAGGTCATAGTGGAGACACGCTGTCCCACTTTCACTGAAACTGCTCCATTTCTTGCCATCCCACAGTGAGTTATGCTTATGTGCGTATGTGTACAGAATAAGAGGGGTTGCTGTTGTTTATGTTTCTATAAAACTTGCTTTTGTGTAGTGGTCTCCCTGATTCCTGCTCCTGCAGAGCCACAGTGTCAAGTGGCTCCACTCTCGGGATATTTGAAGAGGCCCCTGATCTTGCTTATTGTTTCAAGTGCTGCAATGCGCCAATATGGGCTTCAATTTAGCAAACTACTTCAACGCCTGCTGTTTTAACAGTCCACTTTCATGCACTTATTTTCCATCTTTAGCTACGCACAAAACTCTTGCATCTCATCAAGTCAATTAACTGCAATTCCTTATCATTTCTCGCTGAAAAGGAAATGACTTTCATTTTCAAAACCAAGTCATGTTAAAGGGATACAGTGAGCTCAAAAACTGTTTAGATCATAGGTGTCAAACTCTGGCCCGCGGGCCAAATTTGGCCCATAACCTAATTACATTTGGCCCGCGAAGCCATACAAAATTACTATTAGAACTGGCCTACTGGTATTATACAGTTCATGTACTGCTAATACTACAATTCCCAGAATGTTCTGTTGGTGTTTTGGCGCGTCAGTCATGACAGGACCCATTAGCACCCTCTCCTCTGTTGACCATAGTCATAGCAACCATGCAAATACTGCCATGCTACCTATCCCAAAATGGCAAAAAGAAAGGCAGAAAACAGGAGCTTTCTGGACAGGTGGCAGAATATGATGAAAATTTCATAAATGATAAAATGATAAAATTTAATTCAGAAGGCTGCAAACACAATTTTTATTTAAGAAATGAATTCCACTGATGTGTTATTTAATTGGAATTTCGATTTTGCATGTGTGCAATATTAAGTTATATATATATATATATATATATACACACGTTCATATAAGGTATATATATATTGTTTAGTATTAAGCTTTGCTTGTTCCATACTCAGTTTTTCAGCAAAACTTGTTTGAGTCCATAAGAAAAGATTCCTTTGGATTTTTTTCCAATGAATATTAATGTTAGCCTGCTACTTTGATCCAGTTTTGAATTTTGGCCCACTGTGTATTTCAGTTTGACAACCCTGATTTAGATGATCACGACTAAATGGTCAGCTCACGTTTTTACGCTTAGATCTGTGACCATATCCCTGAATTGATCAATGTTTTGGTCTCTTCAGGCAGTGTAACAAGCCGTATACAAAAACACTGACTTATTGGCCTATTTAGTGTTCCAGCAGCCACTGGCACATAATTAGCATTCGGAGCACAGTAAAAAAAATTATAAAAAACAAAAAAACAAAAGTAAAGTTGCAAGGTCCTGAACTGACAATAATAAATAAAAAATAAAATATGCTAAAGAAATAGATGTTGGATTAGCAATAATGGTAAGTGGGCCAAAATTCCTCCACAGCATTGACAGTTATTGCAAATCCCTGAATAGCTGTTGTTGCTGCTGCTAAGGGTGGCCCAACCACTCATCAGGTTTAGGGGGCAATCACTTTTTCCACACGGGGCCACCTAGAGTTTTTTATTTCTTAATCATAAAGAACTTCATTTACACCACTGTATGTATGTATTAAGGATAGGGATGTCACAGGAACACAAGAAGGCCGGTGTTAGTTAAATATAGAAATGGAAAGGAGTGTTGTTTGCAGCCTTAATAAGCCTGGACAGTGAGTTCCTCTGTTGCATATATAAAAATTTGTATTAACAAATATTGTTCTGGATCATAACGCTGCCTGAATTTCAATGCAAATCAGCATAAAAGCAGAACATCTATATAGCATGTTGTATCTGTTGTTCACTAGCTCTGTTTCATGAGTTTCTCCTGCAGTATTGTCCAATTCCTTGAGGAAAACACACAAGTATTATATTTATTTATTTGTTATAATTAAGTTAAAGCACCTCAGGACATTGTTTAAAGATACAGAAATTGATTATTTGAAGGAAGAGAAAAGATCTGGTGACATTTTAAACAATGTATTTTAAGCACTAATATTTTTATTATCATTGTATCATTTAATATCATCAGTAATCTGAATACCTTTGTATTCAGTGCGAACAGAGCTGTTTTAAATAAACATAAACAGCCACCTCATTTGTTTATCAATGGCAAAGGTAGAATTTTTTTCCTTTAAGAAAACTGTAATTGTTAAATAAAAGATATCCTTTTCTTTCTCATACACTATCTTATCTAATCAGTGGGGCACAGCTGCTGCATTTGCTCTGTGATATTTGCCCTGCAGTGCCCCCATGTCACAGTTTCCATAAAAATGCCATGTACTTCGTAAGCGTTGGTGACGGGGCCATAACGAAAGCTGTTCTGTGTAATTAACTGTGTAAACGCAGCTTTGTAATTAAGACACAGAAACTCTCTCCCCTAAATTGGATCGTCAAGGTCGAGGCAAGATGAAAGAGGATGTCTTTCAACGGTGCACACCATATACGTGCAGATACACAGGGACGCAGCAGGCTGCTCTATTAAAAAATGTGCTCAACGAGGAAAAAAAATAAATATTCAGGAGACATATCTGGCTTTTCTTTGAATACATAACGTGGTTTGCCATTTTTTCCCCTCATTCACAGCCTACTCTACACATTCATCAGTTTTCAGTAGAGGTGGCGTGAAATTTTCCTCCTTCGGAGCAAAAGTCATTGGAAATTAGGAGACTGCTGGTTATTAAGCCCTCGGGACTAAATCAGCTGGCTCCTTTTGTTATTTGTTGTGATATGAAAGAGGAACCAGATGTGTCCAAGGCTGTAGCACTAAGAGGCTTTGATGAGCAGGAATATACCTTTGATCTGCAACGCAGTGTGTAATTTCGGGGGTGTTTTTATGCAAACATGCAGAAGCTCTACTCAGCCAGGATAAAGCACTCACCTTATCGGCCTGTCTCATGTAACAGTAGAGAATTCCTCTCATGCACTTGATGGCAGAATGCTCCAACTCGTGAGTTCGTCCCATGTCATCATCGATGCGTCTGAAGGGCAGGGAACAAAGGCCGAACACATGAAGACAAACAGTCACCTACAGCAACTCCTTTTGTTTTAAAAATGGCAAATATTACCAACTGGGCCTCAGAGTCACAGTTGGTCTTTTGGTCAGTATTCTTACTCCTTAAATGTGCTAAAGTAACAGCAGAGATCTCACAACTTAATATGAAGGACAAGTTTTCCGAGGCCAAAAAAAGTCCAAGTAGTCAGAAGATCTGATGCATTGTAGAACTGTCTAAACTGTTATTTTATTCAAATAAAATATGAGTGAAAGAGAAGCAGAACAGCAGAACCAGCTTAATAAATAATACATAAATAATGGTAAATAATAAGGTCTTTAATTCCTTACTACATTTTAGTCAAGCCATTTTGTTCCCAGGTTTAAGCAAATAACAAATAATAAATAACCTGCTGAACCCTTTTTGGGGTAAGAAAGATAAAAAAAAAAATAAAAAAAAAATGAATCAGGTTTAGGTTGATATAACCCAGATCAAGCCAAACTTTTGCATTCATTAAGCTAGAAATGTTTGCCTAGCCCATATTTCATCAATAGGATTGTGGATCCATCCTAAATATTATTGTGATACAGAGAACTACCATGTGATTTTGACATTGACAACACAAATCCTGATCTGATGAGGACTGGAAGAGTAGTAATGGTCAATCATTTTGTTCCATTAAAGCTGTCAGTTGGCCAGGACTGCTGAGAAGATCAAACTGCTTAACCCAAGACTAAATACAATGGTCGTCTGGCTGTTTCAGTTACCTATAGCTATGAAATAATGATCATACTGTGAACTGTGATTTTTCTTTCTCTTTAGACTTTCCTACACGTAGTACTGATTTTGAAGTATATTAGTCATCAGTGCTGATAAACCAACAGAAGCTCTTAACAATTTACACAATTCACATTTAATAGTGAATGCAAATTAACAAAAAAAGGAATGAATGCACTATAGAAAAATGCATTCAAATTGCGGGGAAACAATTCAGCTTTAAATTAAATCTGTTAGGTATAGAAAAGAAAAGTTTTGAAAGTCCTGAAATGAATACTGGTAGTGAAATGCCACTTTGTTCCTCGGTTGCAGCGACCACAGTGCGAATCAGCTCATTCTCTCTGAGGCTGGCAGATGTCAGATGTGTTTGACAAAGGTCAAGCTAGTAATGACTCTGGCTAAGAACAAAGGAAAGCTAAGCCACTGATGTTATACTTGTTTAAAATTTCCGAGGTACACAATGCATTAATGACTGCCTTCAAGACATGACCCCGTGCATCAAAACTGACTGCATGGACTTGTTAGTTAGAGTTACCCAGTGTCATTAACAAGAAAATGTTTCTATAACAAATAGAAAAGTGAGCAGGCAAAACTGCAAATAAAAGCTATCATGTTTCCTTAAAATAGAAGTTTGTGGTAACTCCAACTGCCAGTCTTGTCATTGACTCTCACACACACATACTCAAACACACACAGCATCTGGGTGTGAAGTAAGTAATGGCACTATCCAAGCCTGTCAGATGAGAATCATCTTAATTAAATCCCAGTGACAATTCTAATAGGAGGCAGCCATGACTGATGACTGGGATCTGCCTCTGGTCACATCACTGCAGTACACTCTATTTTTACCCCGCTCTTTCCCTCCGTCTTCCCCCTCCATCTAGTTTCCTCTCTGCCTCTCTCGCCATCTTCCACTTCTTCTTCTCCATTGCGAACCCTGACCAGCTTAAATCTCCCCTCTACCACTCCCGCATCTCCACTTTCACTCTTTCTTCTCCTTCCTCTTTATCCTTTTTGCCCCTCACCCTTCTTCTGTGCCATGTTACAAGCTCATTTTGTGGAAGTGCTCTTTCCTTAAGAGGAATTTGGGCATCAACACAGGGGAACATTGATAAAGGGGTTTGGTGGCCCCAGTGAAATTTTGAAATGTTCTTCTAGAAGTAATAACCCCTATGTGGTTAAAAAGCAAAGCCTCCAAATGACAGAGGCAGATTAAAGACGAGGGTCAGTAAGCATGAAAACCTGTGAAACCAATGTAACTGGGGCTTTTTGGTCAGCTTTCATATAATGCCCTGCAAACTGAGCTGTCCATCTATTTTAGTATTTCTTTTACACCAGTGTTGCTGTGATGCTGAAAAAAGGCAATACATAAGACTGGTTTTTCAGCTACTCCTGAGTTTATGGGTCAGTGGCATATTCAGAAGCACAACATGCTGCAACCATCTATCACTATATAACAGCAAGAAGGACCTCTGCCCACAAGAAACTGGACTCACTGCAATAACCATCTGTGTTTATGACCTCCGCCTCCACTACTCACCATGAATTTAGATTTCAGTCTGAGATACTCTCACAACAGTAATCGAAGTGTTCTTTATAAAAGTCTAACTGAACATAAACAAACAGTTCTAAGTTTTTAACTTGTACAGATCACTAGCTGTTTACCCATATTCTATGACTGCACCAATTACAGACCCTGCACCCTCTAGCTTGTTGGGTTGGGTGTGTGAAAAGATATATTTTTTGGAAATGCATTTAATATTTTCAGCTATATTTTATTCTATTTTTAAGAACTTCTTATCATGGTCGTGCATACTGAGGTGTTGGTTTTGCTTAGTAATGTTATAAAGAAGATATATATCATATGATTGACAGCTGCCATTTGATTGCAGTACTTCCCTCTGCAGTTCCGGGTGTCCCTTCATTTCTTTTTTTTGGAAATACAGCTTGCAAGCTACCAAAAAGCTTCCAATTCATGTAAGGAAACTAGCTAATATGTTGACTGCAAGCTAGACAACTAACAGTGACACTTTTTTTTTTTTATCTAGAAACTTGTAAGCGTGTGGTGAGCTTCCATAAAACTCCAAGAACATCCAGAAATTTCAAGGATTGTGTGCACTTGTTAGTACAACTGGGCTTATCTTGGAGCCACACTCACCCACAAACACGTACATGTTGGTAATCTGCCTAACAGCTTTGGTCAAGTTGAGCTTTCTATGAGTTTTGTAACACAATTTTAGGTAAAAAGGACAATCTTTAGCACACAGCTAAGGTGCCAGCTTCCTAAGTCCACACAAACTTTGGAAAAAGACATATTGCATACTTATAAACAAACATATATTACACAGTTTATTTTGCATGCGTGTGCATTTTGCATACTAACCGATATGCCATTGCCAAGGCCCAGGCACTGGCAGCACAGTACAGAGAGTCCCGGACCTTTGCCTCTTTGCAGGTAGAGCATGTTTTTACTGGGAACAGACCAGTGGTGGGACTCTGGTAGTTCAAAATAGTTGTCTTGACTAAAAAGACACAAAAAAGATAGAGACAGACAGAAGAAGTGGTGGGTTAATAGTTGCAAAACCGGAAATGTTGTCATCTGCTCACAGCTAAGTAGTTGAAAGGCCAGTGAAGAAAGCGCCTGTTTTCTAGGTTGTAAAGTATTCTCCTGCAGCTCTTTGTTACAAATATCAAAAGCATCTCATTCTAACTGATTAATTAGGTGATAAATCAAGAATCAACAGAGTAAAATCACCAGCTGGAAAAACAACCCCCCCAATAAGATTCTGTTTAAAGCACAATAAACAAATCAGATAAATGTAATAAATAAGTATAAGATGAGAGAGAGAGCACTATGCGCCTCACAGCTTCAATGTCAGGGGCGGGGGAATAGTGGACCTCCCAGCTTCAGTGTCATATAGAGGAGCCCAGAGCAAACCCAGCAAAGCAAGCCTTAAAATAAGGCTATAAATATAAATGTAAAAAAATCCAAAATAGCTGCAGCAATCTAAGGAGAGTGGGTAACCAGAGTTTTACAACTTAAAGAAATTCTGCACTTGTGAGCAATTGTTGCAGAGAATCACCACATTACCAATGACTGTGACACTTTTCATATGTTTTACTGTTAATAAATAAGTACTTTGATTTTATTTATATATGACTTTTTAAGATTGTAATGCACTTCAATAGATTCTTACAATATTAAAATACAATTGAATAAAAAAAAAAACATAATACACAAAAATATTATTCAAATGCCTGATAGATCTGGATAGATGCATTTTCAGCTGTTTGGTTTTTTTAAAAAAGAAGCCACAGAGTCAAGGGTGCAAAGAGAGAGAGGTGAACTGCTCCATAGTTTTGGCACAAATGTTTGAAAGGCAAAATCCCCTTTATTTTTTAGATCAGTACGTGGAATCACCAGAAGACCACTATCAGCAGACCGAACGAAGAAGCAGCTCGATGATGTAAGTGGGGGCCTCTCCACATCAGGCCATGAAAGTAAGAGTCAAGATTTTAAATTGAGATCTGAAACTAAATGGAAGCCGGCGCAGACTCTTTAACAATGGGGTGATATGAGAGAATTTGTGAGTGTGAGTTAAAAGC